TGGAGTCAATAAATCAGGTCCCGCTGCTTTGCCTAGCTTCAGATTGGTGACAGCTTTAGTAACCTCGGTTAAGGACGGAGGACCTGTGTCTATCTCCCATTCAGGGAGGTGTTGGATGTCCGGTAGGTTAAGTGTGGCTGTGGGCCAATTAAACTGCTCCTCATAGTGTTCTTTCCAGCGCTCCAAACGTCTATCCTGGGAGCTAATTATGGTGCCATTTTTCTCGGAGATTGTTTCGCTTATCATTTGTTTTCTACCACCTGTTTCCCTGATAAGCCTGAATAGTTGTCTGGTGTTGCCAATCGCCGATGCTTTTTCCATCTCTTTCGCCTTTGTCAACCACCACTGTTCACGGTCCTTGCGGAGACTTTTCGTAAGTTTCCTCTTGTGCAGCTTTCGCTCCTCATTGAATTCGGAGCTCGCCGGAATAAGTCTTCTAGCATCTATCAGTTCGGATGAGGCAGTCGAAATCCAATGGTTTTTACTCACCTTTGGAATTACCTTATTCACAGCTTTTACAGCTGTATCTATGGCTGACTGAATATTCTTCCAGGCTTCTTCAGGGTGAGCGCAGCTGTCAAACTCAGATATGTGTTTAGCTAGTTCTTCCTCAAATAGGGACTTAGTTCCCTGGTCGAGCTGGGGACGTGATGGGTTTACCGCCAGCTGTTTCCTACGTCCGTTCAGTCGTAAGCACACACGAGCGCGGACCAGTGCGTGATCGGTATCTACACACGTGTTCCAGAAGGAGCGACAATCTCCTACCGACCCACGCCAACGATAGCTTATTGCTATGTGGTCTATTTGTGTCCAGCGTTGATTTGATGATGGGGGTCGCCAGGTCAAACAGTGTCTCTCCTTGTGTTTGAAGTTAGTGCTTACAAGATACAAATGATTATCTGAACAGAACTGTAGGAGACGGTCACCGTTGTCGGTTCGCTGGCACGGAATTCCGTATGTGCCACCAACATTCTTCTCAGATTGACACAATTTCCCTACTTGAGCATTAAAGTCACCAGCTAAAACGACTATATCTGAGCGTCTAGCCTTTCGCAGCAAACTAGACAGCTTTTGGTAGAACTCATCCTTCGTTTCATCCGAACTGCAGTCAGTGGGGGCGTAGGCGGAGATTACGAAAAGGCATCGGCGAGTAGTGCAGTCCTTTCTCCTTTTCACTGATCCGTTCAGGCGGACAGCGCACATTCGGCTATCTACCGGGATCCAGTCAAGTAATGTCTTTTCTGCTCTAGTACTTAAAGCTATCCCAACACCAGCTAATCCTCGTGAGCTAGCCGTCGCATCTCCTGACACCCTCAAGGTGAATTTTGCAGATTCATCCTGTTGGCCAGGTGGGGTTAGGTGAATAACCACACTTGGGTCTTGTATGCGTGTTTCTGAAACACAACATACATCAATGGCTCGGGATGCCAGAGTCTTGGCTAGTGATGCTTGTTGTCCTATTTGGCAAAGTGTCCTAACATTAAATGCTCCTATATAAAATTGGTGGCGTGGTTTTAGGAGACAATCGGTGGTGGCTTTTTGGCTTCCATCGTTATCAGTGCACACAGAGTGAAGGGGAAGTGAAGAGCCAACAAGTAGAGGAGTTGCATTGGTAGAAGGAAGGCAAGATAATAGAGATGAAGATGAAGACAAAGATGAGCGAGGATTAGAGGGGTTTCGCGTGCACTTCGGATTGTGAGGGCGATTGTTACTTCCCGGCTGCCCACACCGTGGAAGTTGGTTGCGTGACCGCAGAGCCCAGGGGACAACTGCTTGAGGCCGGTCACACACGGCCTGTTTTTGTTTGTTCTTTTTTATTTGGTGTGTCTCAGTAGCGTATTTATCACTTCTGCCCTGTGACACGGCAGCAGAAAGCGCGGTCGTTGTTAATCCGGGCCCCGACCGATCCGGCATGATATTTTGTGATTTATTTGAAATCATAGGATTGGATTGGGTAACTGCTTTTACTCTAACTGCTATCCAAACAACCTTTCTGGCATGGTAGGACCTGCAGGAACATAAGTTCCAGCCAGTATAGCTTGTTGGGTCATTGCAGTGTTCAAGCCCGACCACCACGTCAAGGTAGCAGCTTTCGGTCGGGATATGGCTCAATATGGCTCACCCTATTATACTGCTTCACACGGGAGATAGAACACAGGCATCTATGATCAAAGACAGCTAGCTAGCCCTCATTGGCCATGTCTCGCTCACAGCCATAAAGAGAACAGAGAGAACTGCTGAGCAGTACACACGTCCTTCGATAGATAGCCAGCCGGATATCACGTCTACTCCAGAGAGAGCGTAATCTGGTTGGTATATGTGAAACTAGCCCTCTCTATCCGTGCTGAGATTTCCTCAGCGATCAACCGTTGGGGCTGATGCAACGTGCTCTACCACTTCACTCCCTCGTAAAAAGAGTTAGTTATTCGATGAAGTTGTAAAGCTATATCAACTGATACGGATAGGAAATGTGTTGTACATGCCGAGCCGCCGTCTTCCTCGGTGGATCGAAGACCGTTAGAGATAGCCTAATCAAAACCTGAAATCAAGTTATGAAGTTGTTAACTGTTTATTTGACTTGCATAGGGATGTGTAGACTGCCTGGTTGGAGTCCTCAAGAGGCTAAGAATCAATCAATGCGTGGAGACTGTTGGCAACATGGTTCAACGAACGTTTTCAATGAGTACAATCGCATTCACTCTTCATAATCCCCCCCGGAGCCATTAAGTTCTCATATTTCTTCATGTAGTTGTTTTTTCTTACGCATATATTTCTACTGACTGTATAGTTTGTATCTGGTGATTTTTCTTTTGTTCCACTTTGTGTGTGTGTTACGTGGAGTGTAGCACACTTTGAACCGATTCTCTGACCTAGCTGGATGGTTTCCCTGCGGAGCTTTCATTGTCTTACTAGGCAACATCCTCAACGCATACTTCAATTTGTCGAAGTGAGCTTTTTAGACTTCTTCACGAGTTTATAAGTCATTTCTCCAGGTGGGTGACCTTGAACGTGATTGGTTATTTTCGTGTGTTTCCAAATCCTCTAGGCTACACTTGTATTGGAACTGATTGTTTCCTTGACTTGAACTTTGACTTTTTGTGCATGTGATTTCCTTCTTATAGATTGGTAAATTTTGTCTATTTCAATGTGTCTATTGATTGCCAACTCATTTGAGTACCAGGCTTCTAAAAATTCTCTAGGATTCTTGGTGTCTCCTCTGTCTAATATTTGAACATTGTCCCAGTCGAATTGATGTCTGTGGTTGTCTGTATGCATCGATATGAGTGAGGGAGTGGATATCATGTCTTTTGACGTGTAGCTCATGATCATGGATATGAAGACGAAGGGGTCGTCCACTCTGGCGAATGTAGTGCTTTTCGAAGTCGTTGCAACTTATTTTGCAGATGATGTTGGTTTTATCTTCTTTCACTGTTGAGTCTTTTGGCTGACACAGAGCTGAGTGGAGTGATTTTGTTGGTTTGTGTGTGACATGAATTCCTAGAAGTTTGAAGAGTCTGGCAGTGATTTCTGAGATGTCTTTTACATATGGTAGGACGATTTTCTTTTTTCTTTCCTTGGGGGCCTTTGATTTGTTAAGTTGGCTTGGGGGTATATGTCTTTTAATGAAGTCCTGGGGATATCCATTCCATGAGATATCTTTCTTCAATTTTCCCTAAGATTGGAAGGAATGCTGCAACGAGTCCTGGCCCTATTGAATAGTATTTGTATAAAGTTTCTATTGTGTGTTATTGGACTGTTGCTGTTGTAATTCAGTATTTGGTCTGTGTAAGTTGATTTTCTATAAACTTGAGTTTTAATTCTCATGTAGTCGTTCGCTTGATTAAGACGTCGAAAAATGGGATCTCGTTCTTGGATTCCTCTTCTCTTGTGAATTTGATATCGCTGAATGCGTTGTTTATTAAGTTATGAGTTTTATCCTAGGAAACCTCACACACAAAGGCTCAAATTTCAAGTCAAGGAAACAATCAATTCCAATACGAGTAGCCTAGAAGATGTGAAAACACACAAAAACAACCAATCACGTTCAAAGTCATTCACCAGGAGAGATGACTAATAAACTCGTGTAGAAATCCAAAAAGCTTCCTTCGTCGAATTGAAGTGTATGCACTGTGGATGTTGCCTAGTATGGGGGGCAATGAAAGCTTCGCAAATAAACCATCCAGCTTAGAGAACACAACAACTACATCAAAATTATCCACCTGAGCCACAAATCTTCCTCATCACAACTACCATTTGAATTGTCATACACTTCTGAGCAAAGTTCTGCTTTGAAGCTCAATCAATCAGTGATTGTTAGGTGGTGGCATAATAAAGTAAGTAATGTCGGCGTTAGGCGTAGAGTATTGGACAAAGAGGGAAAATCAATCGAAGAGACTATAAAGTTACATAGATTGAGATGGCTAGGTCACGTGCTGCGCATGCCTAACCATCGCCTCCCCCTCCCGATGGGCATTACTAGCTGATATAGGTGCAGGTTGGAAAAGAGTAAGTGGTGGCCAAACAAAAACATGGCATCAATCAATCCATGAAATCCTTGACAGTTAAACTGAGTCAGGTAGGGAGGGAGATGCAGACTTCCGGGTTGGGGCCCGCCCTCGGGACTCTAAGAATCAATGGCTGGAGACAGACAATAGGTGACATGGCTCAAAATCGTTGTCAATGGCTTACTCAGATGTATTCAGTCTCTGTAATCTTTCATATATTTCCTTCTACCATTACTCATTCTGTTTCACTCTTATACTTGTCAAAACTCTATCGGTTCCCTTCACTCATCTTCTTGTCTACCTTTGTGTGCTATTTGGAACGTGGCAACTCGAACTGGTGCACTTCGGTGCCAAGTTCTATGTTGAATCCAGACAGACAGATTGTTTGCTCTACGTAATAGTTTAACTTGTTGTATGTATATATATTTAATTGTACAACCCTCCTTTATTTGCGCTTTCCCTAAATGATTTTGGTTTTTTTCTTCTCATTTTCAGTGATGGTCAAAAGATGAGTAAACGGGCTAAAAATTATCCAGATCCTGTTGAAGTGATTAAAAAACACGGAGCTGATCCTCTACGCTTATATCTTATTAATTCACCTGTTGTTCGTGCACAGAATTTACGCTTCAATGAATCCGGTGTACACGAAGTTGTTAAAGATGTATTCCTTCCATGGTGTAATGCTTTACGCTTTTTAATTGAGGTAATTGTCTCCACTGTTGTGAAATTCTGCATTTCATTGTGGTTCGGTCGGTCGGGTCGGTTTTCGACATAGAACTTTGCACAAGTGTGTGGCAGTTCAAGTCGCCACACTCCATGTACCACACAAAGCAAGAGAAGAAAGTAGGAGAAATGCATAATATAGACAGTAAACAGAGGTGTGAGACAAAGGAATAGTAATAACGAAGAACGACATAGTTTCATTGGAAATCATGAGTCACAAGGAGTGAATGCATCTGCGCCACTGAGAACGATTTTGAGCCATGTCACCAATTGTTTCCAACCATTGGTTTTCATCGTCCCGAGGACCCCAACCAGGAAGTCTACATCTTCCTATAAGTGGCTTAGACTAACTGTTGTAGATTTCATTGACTGGTGCCATGTTTTGGTTTGACCACCGCTAGCTCTTTTCCAGCCTGACCCTATGTCAGCTAACATTGCCCGTTGTCGAGGAAGGCGATGACTAGGCATACGTAACACATGTCCTAACCATCTCCGTCGATGTAATTTCACAGCCTCGTCAATTGATTTCCCCTCCTTACCTAGCACTCGACGCCTAACCTCAATATTGTTCACCTTATTATGACACTTCACATGGTAGATAGAACGCAGACACTTATGATCAAACACATAATCTTTTCATGTCTTCTGCTCTCAATGACCAGGTCTCACAGCCATAAAGGAGGACGGAGCGGACTGTTGAGCAGTACACCCACCCTTTGGCTGACAGACAGCGGGATATCACTTCTATGCCTGAGACGGCGTAAACTGGCATATGTGAAACTAGCCCTCTGTATTCGTACTGAGATTTCGTCGGAGATCAACCCGTTGGGGCTGATGGTACTTCCCAAGTAAGTGAAGCGGTCAACACGCTCCACCAACCACTTCACTCCCTATTTCTAATCTAGGGGTCGGTGAAGTTCAATCCTGTAACATCATCTTACATTTTACAGGGGCGAATCGCATGCCAAACATACGAAGATTGTTGCTCAAGGTGTTCAGAAGACTCTGCATTTTGTCAGCGTCCTCACCTAGAAGGACTATATGGTCCGCATATTCTAAGTCGACGAGATTATCCCCTGGTAGCAAGTCAATCCCTGAGTCGCTGAAGTGTGTTAGGGTTAAGTCCATTAGTACGTCTATGATGAAGTTGAATAGGAATGAGGATAATGGGCATCCTTGACGGACACCACTTGTCGTCACCACTTCATATGACAACTCGCCGTAATCCCTCACCTGGCTGCATGAGTACGAGTTGAGTGCCTTAATCAGTGCACTGTATTTTCTCGGCATTCCCTTTACAGCCAAGCATCCCCAGTGAACCTCTCAGTCGACAGAACTGAATGCCGCCTTTAGGTCAAGAAATATAATGATTGTTGGACGCCGGTAGGAATGCCTATGTTCTAGAATCTGTCGAAGGGTGAAGATATGATCAATACACCCTCTTCCTGGCCTAAAACCTGCCTGGTTTTCTCGTGTTTGTGCCTCTCGAGCACCACTTAATCTACGCAGTATTATTGAGCCTAGGATTTTAGATACTATATTAGTCAAGCTAATCCCTCTGTGATTATCACAGAGTGGTCCTATCCTATAAAACTGTTTTGTTGCATAGTGAAGTTATAGAAATTATTATTATTATTCGATTAATTGAGGATTTATAGGCTGTGTCAGGGATGCAGGTCTATAGAAAGTATAGCATTACTTTTGAGTAGACTGATTTAAATTGTTTAGAAAGTGTGATTCCTCTCAAGGTGTCTCATAGATGTTCCCACGGCCCCACTCACTCAAGTTAAGTGTTGAGCTTTCTTAATATATAGGCGTAAAATTTGGGCACTGTGGTAGTAAGTAATTCCATATTAGTTTGTTTATTGGATGTATCACACAGTCAGTGAAACAGTATTATTTACTCGATGACACAGTTTTGAACAAAATTTATTGTAGCAGATATAGGTGGGAAAACGTGGCGATCGAAACGTTCACCCCCAACCCAAAAAGTATGGTGGAGGTAGGTAGATGATAGATTCACTGTACTTAGAACACAGGATATAGATAGATTTTTCGAACACATTAACTCAAAGGTGGAGGCAATTCAATTCACTTATGAATCGGAAAGTCAGGAAGGGAAGCCTCCAATTTTAGATTGTAGTATAAAAAGGAAAGAAGATGGGAAGTTAAACACTAGTGTGTGTTTACAGGAAACTCACAAATTCAAACAGATATTTGGACTTCCGATCATCCCATCCTATGCCAGTAAAAATAAGATTGGTGAAATGTTTAAAGGACAGAGCACAAATACTAAGTAGTACCAAAGAAAATCTAACACAGGAAGTGAGGCATATAAGAGAAGCTTTGAAACTTAATAATTACTCTGATAAATTAGTCAGAAAGTATGTAGGGAAATGTAAAAATAAAATAAATAATCATAGTAGTGATAATGACAATGATAATAATATTAATAATAATAATCATAATAATAGTAATATTAATGGCGACATGCGTGTCAAACATGCGCAAGATAATGACAACACCAACAATCAGGAATCTAAATCATCAGTAGTAATTCCATACAAGAAAGGAACCTCGGAAACCTTACAGCGGAGAATTCTTAACAAGGCAGGAATAAAAGTGGATGGCATTCAAACCCACAAACTCAATTAGAAACAAGCTTTGTCGGTTAAAGGTTCACTCCTGTGGAACCAATTAAACAAGACAATTTAGTTTATCCAATACCCTGTCTTCAATGATTGTCAGGTCAAATACATAGGTCAAACTGGTAGAACAGGGGTAGTCAGGCTAGCTGAGTATAAAATCTAACAGCAAAATATACATTATTTAACCCGAATAAGATAAGACATCTAGAGAATAGTTCAGCTATAGCACTGCATGCAGTTACGCACAACCATGCAATAGGATGGGATAGGATGACAATTTTAAAATATAATGTCACAGGGTGGAATGAGAGATTGATAACGGAAGCTTTGTTTATCGAATCAACTGCAAATACATGTAACAGGAATGATTCAACACCTGTCCACCCAGATATCTGGAAAATTCTACTACCCCAACGGTAACAAATAGGAGAGAACAAAGAAACTGTAAAACTCAAGTTTCGAAGTCGTGTGATTATAATTGATGAGATGATTATGAACAATAAATTGTGTTCTCAACTTCGTCATCCAGTAAATAATACTGTTGAGCTTTCCATCCCTCTGTCACAATGGCTTCCAGTGTTATGTGACTGATTACATTGAAACCTCAGTCGACAGACTTCGGTGTCAATAATAAGAGCTTATCAGCTACATATACTTACTAAAGATTTTAATCAGAGTTCGCTATCTACAACAGTCTTTGAATAGCCTATTTTATTCAGTGAGTTACGCCACAGTTGGCAGTTATACACGCCTACTCAGCGACAAACTAAAAATTGTCATCACGAACTGACATCTTTAAAGTGATCGTTGAAAACTACAGTAACAGTTTGAATCAGTTGCGGACCATCACAGAGTAGTTTGAAATGTTTCGATTTTTAACGTCGGTCTTCCCTAACTCCCTATCCCCAGAAGGCGGAAGTGACAGCTGGCCCGCTGGTCACCTAAGGGGGATAATTTACTGCTGTTTTACTCCTGTCGGCCAGCTGTACGACTTCGTTCTCAGAATTAAACTAACTTGGTAGTTCCTTTTTCTCCAAACGCCTTCCAAGCAACCCTTCTGGTATGGTAGGATCTGTAGTGATATTTGTTCCAGCCAGTTTAGTTTGTTGGGTCACCGTAGTATGCGAAGTCGACCATCACGTTAAGGTAGCAGTTGTCGGCTGGGTACGTAGGGGCATCATATATGTGTATAATATCAGTACCATGGTAAAATATCACAGGTTTCTGTAGGCAGTTAGGTTTTCTTTTGGGTTTCACCGTCTGAAGTTGACTTACTTTACTTCGGCTATCTCCTACGGGAGGATGAGCCGGCTTCATGAACATCTCGAATCATCGCTGCCCACGCGCGGCGATCTGATGCGTTTGTAAGAGAGTTCATGAAGTTTCATGGGAATTTGGTACGAGTGATGTCCCCAGAATCGCTCGGCCTTTTGTTTGAGAGTGCAGCTCTAGCCTTTACACCACCAAGTGTGACCTACAAGGCAGTAGGAGTGGAGTAGGGAGTCCACTATCCATTGGCAGCCGGTGACCGGAGTTCGATTCATACGCCTTTTTTAATGGGGCCAGACATCCAGGACATCCAACAAGCCCTTTGTCCATACGTCTGCCGGTGAGCTCCAGTGAGCTTCATACGCCAGTCGTTGGAGGTTTGGAATCAGGGTTTGGCCATCTCCCCTAGACTGTCATCCAATGGACAGTCAACCCGGTGAAGAGCGCCGGGCATCCGCTTTCGCCCTCTCACTTTGGTGAAAAACACCTCCGCCACGTGAAGGCAGTGAGTAGGACTTCCTCAGGAGAGGCTATGTAAGACGCCCGGTCATAAGGGAGCATTTCAAGAGGTGTGCGGAGGGGTGGCCAACCCGCAGCGACTAATAAGCCCTTGAAGTCTTGAATGTGGGAATTGCTCAAAATTCTCGCGAGTGTTTTTTATGTTGGTTGCCTATCGACTCTAAGTCCTATTGACCGTCTTCATGCGGCGGGGGGGGGGGCTGTTCCTCAAAATAATGAGAAGGTGATTGTAGGAATCTGGCGCTTACAACCGAACTAGTGGACATGCAGGTTTACCTGGGGACGTTGAAAAATCTTGATTCTCAACTTGTGGTGCATATTTGGTCTTCAGAATCCGAACGGATCAAATGGTGTGTGGACCTGTTTTGATCACTGGAAACTATGGATATTTAGCTCCTGAAGTTGTCTTATTGCCTTTTGGATCACATTTAAAGTCAAAAGCTTGCGACAGGGGGTGGTCTGCTCCTTAAGACAACTACCTGCTTCGGTCTGAGCGTCCGGCCAGTATCTCATCCTTCTCACAGATTGAGACGTTGTGTGACGTATCCCTTGCACATAATGTGCTAAGTTTATATATTCATAATATTAATAAAAGCAATGGATCTTATAATTAATCAAATAATTAATTAGTTATACTCTGATTTACTTCCCTTGGCATTTATAAAATGATTTCATGTGACTTCTCTCTTTGTTTTCTTTTCCTCTAAATTTACCTAGTCTTCCATTAATCCATATCAAAAAACAACTCATCAGTCTTTCATCGTGAAACCAGATGAATTCCCGGTGACAAATAATTTTATGGATCGTTGGATTTTATCATTTACTCAAAGTCTTATTCTCTTTGTGCATGAAGAACTTGCAGGTGAGTGCAATCTTCCCCCTCCTCCTATTCCTTGTCGTCTCCAGAAGCACCGATAATACGTAGTGTTGAACCCCTGTCCTAGTCTTTTAGTGTGTGTGTGTCGTGATGTTGAAGAAAGTTGTATGACAAAAGATGGATGATTGCAACTGAAAAGGAAGTCCAGACTTCATTTTTTTTCAAACACTAACTGCTTCTTGGTGAAAAGTTCATTGTTATTTGACTGATTTTGGTGCGAACAGTGGGATCGAGGATGTGTGTGTTTCGTTTTAATGTATGGGACTCGTCATCTGTATGTTTCTGTATCCACTGATGAGCGATGGTGAGACACGAAATTATTGAACCACATTGTTTCAAACGCTTTAACGTCATGCAGTAGTCCAGTGTTGAGGAATAAATTATAACCATAGTGGAGTTAAAAGTATTTTTTTACCATGGTCTGAGGCATTTAAATCATGTGAAGTACAATCTGAGATGAAAACTCATAACGGTTTATTGTTGGTAAAACGAAAAGTAAAGGTTGATTGGACACAAGTGATTTGAAAGAGTTTCATAGCGTATGGTGGATAACTGAATGAGAGCGTGTACTCAAATGCACTATGTATATTTGACTCAAGTGACCCAAAAGCTGTGAATAAAGTCCTATCAGTTTCTTTCTGAATATTTAAAGCTAATGGTATTAATGCTCTCACCCATGTATATGCATCCATTCTGCTTGTAAACTTTTATATTTAATTTTTATACTACTGAATATTGAAATTGAGTAGTATAAGTTACACTGTCGAAAATGTTTCTTTAGAGTGGTTAATCCGCTTGGGTCTAGATGTCTAGGACGTGTATTATTCGTGCAAAGTCGTGGACGTCTTCATCGAGCAACGTTGTGTTACACAAGTTGGGTTCAATTCATGAGTAATCACTATTCAGAAAATGATGGAAACGAAACACGTGGTGTACCAAAGGGGCTCTTTTATGTGAATTCACTCTCTTCTGCTGTACAATTGAATTTAGATCGAATTTTTTCATGAAGAGGGGTAGTAACAAAAGTATTGAGTTATCACAAACATAGTTATTAATATTAGGTAGGTGTGTTAGAGTTACGTAATAAGATGGATAATTTAGTTGAGTGAGTTTTGATTCGAGTGCACATGGAAACAAAGGAAAATATGGAATTGTGCAAGGGTTCCTCAGAAATACAAGAGTTATACGGACTTAGAAAAACAAGTAAACAGAAACCAAGTCAGTAGAAATCAACAAGGTTGTTACCATGATGGTAGCAGTGGTTGTGAATAATTTTCGTCTGTTGTTTTCTTCCGGTTTTTTACAATGAATTTCTAAAGCTTCAGGAATGCAGAGGAGACGAAGACGTATTGATTGCCTTTTGCAGGTTGTTCTTCCCTCAGTAGATTACTTTGAAGGGGGCATTTATGGAGGTGGAATGGTCAGTGTTGACAAGGTCACAACTCATTAATTTATTCATCTTACAAAGTAACTCCAGTACGCTCATTCAACTATGTTTGTGACAACTCGTCACTTCTTTTATTGCCCTCTTTCATGAAAGGATTGTATACAAATGCGATTGTTCTGGGGGGGTGGCTGCTGAGGAATTGTCCGAAAAGCGCCTCTTCGCTGAACTACTTGCTATGTTTTTATTTTACTTCTCTCACTCACATTAAACGTACCTGCTTGTGTACTGTTTTAGAGTTAAGTTTTGTGTTACTAAATACTTGAATTAAGTAGTATAAAACTCTGTCAATAAATTTGTGACTACACTATTAAAGTCATATTCATTCCCTTAATCATCTTATTTTTATTTTACTTTATTCTTGTACGTTCTCAGTGGAACATAGGGCTTCAAGCTAGAGGCTTGGTTTTTCGGTAGCAGTGGTGTTTATTTTAAAGGGATGGGGTTGCTAGCCAGCCTAATGCCCTACCTTCTCTCTTTACCAGTTTTATTACTAGCCTAGCGAGGCAAAGGATTGCCGTATTGTGATATTATTATTATTCAGAAATCACTTGCATTTCCACACAATTACCAATGGGCCATACCTGCTATATTGCGAAGGCTAATGTGATACTCATAACCTGGGCGCCCAAACCCTGATAGCAAAAACCAGGTTCACTTCTAATAAGCGTACAAAGTTGGCGGAAAAAGGAATGCACAGAAACAGTTATGAACAGAAACGTGCGGAAGGTAGAATAATTTCATACGGACTAATAAAATGACAGATAGTGAGATTAGTTGTCCCACTGGGAATAATTTTAATCCATGTCATTAATAGTTTTCAGTTGTTGAATCCTAGAATATTGAGGACCCCAGACACACACTCTACACCTCCCGACGTGACTCAGATCAATAATCAAAAATGTCATGGATTGATTTAACTTGGCCACTCCTAACTCTTTTGCAATCTAATCCTGTGTCAGTCAACTTTGATTATGGAGGATGGCGGTGGCTAGACATGCGTAATACGTGTTTCGTATGTATCTCAGTCGATGTAGCTTCACAACCGCATCGATTAACTTCCCCTAATAATTACATAGCACTCTACACCTAACCTTGGTATTACTCAACATACTATACTATTTAACATGAGGGATAGGTCAGCTAGCCTCTTCATTCCTTCCACTCTCAATGACCATGTCTCATAGGCTTTTGTAATAATATCGATTTCCTTATCTCTCTCTCTGTCTTTCATAGGTTATCGTTTGTACACAGTTGTGCCTCGTTTAGTCAAGTTTATTGATCATCTCGTCAACTGGTATGTTCGAATGAATCGTAAACGTTTGAAGGTGAGTAGTGTTTGTTTATTTTTCAGTTGTTTTTCTGTCGTGATTTAGGTTTCTTTTATTTCTTCTCTATCCTTATTGTGTATTCGCAAGTGAAAGTTGTTATGGTTGTTAGCTTGAAGCTTTATTCAAAGCTGTGTATTGTTTTCACATAATTACTGGTGAGAGATTACCACAGATGACTTTTAGAAACCAAATAAAAAAGAATTTGATTCTAGAAGATCTGGCTGGATTTATGTCTTATGTTGCTTAGACTCGAAGGCTTACAGGTGAAGACGGACCTACAGCAACAACAATAGGCATCAAGCACCATCAACGAGAGAAATCCTAAGGATTTCGTCTCATTTACTTACCTGGCCATCATCATCATCCTATTAACCCATGAGAGGCAGACGGATGTGTTTCTGAAAGCCATTTACGATCAATAAAGTTAGACAGGGGTTCATTACTCTGAAACCTACTGAATTCAGCATTTAAAAATAACAAGATACGTATTCTCAACACTAATGGGAAGTTAGTCAGTGCTTCTATATGCTTCAGTGACTTGGTGGGGGTCTGCGAAGGTAATTCCATCAGGCTGTTGCGAACTTTGATCAACAGCTACCTTCGCTGCCTAATGAAGATCAGATCGCCAGTCAGACAATGAACTAATCAAGAAGCCGTTTTCTACTAAATATGCAGAAGGAAACAGGTATGCTTTAGACATACTCTAAGAAGAACGTTAAGCGACATCACATGCCACGCCCTCGGGTAGAACGCGAGATCGACATGGATGATATCATGTGAGAGGTGAAAATGAAAGCTTATAGGCAATTGTAGAGCCCGCTAAGACAGGATGAAGGGAATAAACTGAAGTGGAGATGTGTTTTGGATGCAGAGGACAAATAAGGATAATAATTATTAGAAGTTCGTCCAAGTAGTTAGCCAGAGTTCAAGTGATTTCAAATGATCTTACTCGTAAAGCTTGCCATAAGAATGATATATCTAATTTCGGTGATTGCATTCACGTAGACAGTACCAAAGATCTAACGTATCTAGAAGAATTTCAATTATTTTTCTGTAAAATTAATCCAGAAAGTTATTTTACCTTGGATGGGTTGATTTTTTGTATTCATTAAAGTTGTCGTCGGTGTCATTGTAACTACTAACTGGATTAGACATTTCATTTCCAACCAAACAGAACAAGAATTGAAAATATACTTCATCTGTTAGGGTTTTCAATGGATACATGTGGGGAGTTTTCAGCTTTCAGACACTTGGTGTTCTCTGGGCTGGATGCTTTACTTGTGAAGCTTTCATTGCCCCCTACTAGACAACATCCTCTGCGCATACTTCAATTTGATGAAGTAGAGCTTCTAAATTTCTCCATGACTTTATTAGTCATCTCTCCTGGGGACCTTGAACGTGATTGATTATTTTCGTGTGTTTTCACACCTTCTAGGCGACTTGTATTGGAACTGATTCTTCCCTTGACTTGAACCTTGACCCTTTGTGTGTGTGACATTTCCTTCTTATAGATTGATAAATCTTGTCTATGTCAATGTGTCTATTGACTGTCAACTCACTTGAACACGAGGCTTGTAAAAATTCTGTAGCATTCTTGGTGTTACCTCTATCTAATATTTTAACTTTGTCCCAGTCGAATTGATGTCCGTGGTTGTCTGTATTCAGGGATATGAGTGAGGGAGTGGATATCATGTCTTTGAACGACTAGTGTATGTTCATGGATACGAAGACGAAGAGAACGTCCACTTTGGCCAATGTAGTGTTTTTCGAAATCCTTACAATTTATTTTGTAGATGATGTTGGTTTTATCTTCTTTCACTGTTGAATCTCTTGGTTCACATGAACAAAATAGTTAAACTTCACGTCAAGGAAACAATCAATATCAATAGAGGTAGACACTAGAGAGTAAGAAAACACAATAATAGTCAATCACGTTCAAGGTCACTACCAGGAGAGATGACTAATAAACTCGTGGAGATATTTAAGAGCTCACTTCAACAAATTGAAATATTCGCTGAGGATGTTGTCTAGTAAGGCAACGAAAGCTTGGTAGGTAAACCATCCAGCTCAGAGAACACAACTACATCAAAATTATCCACCTGAGAGCTGCAAGTCGTCTTCATCATGGCCTAAACTTGATATTACCGTTTGTCAAGTTAATAAATATTAGTTAGGAGAATCATTATTTCATCGCGAACTGACATCGGTTAGAGGACCATTGGAAAACCATGTGGGAGTACTGGACAGCCAGCTGTCTCATCAGCCTAGTTTTGGGACTCATTGTCAGTGCGCACTCACCACCAGGGGTTCAAACCAGAACCTTCTGGTTACAAGGCTAGCAATCTCGTAGCCCATTAGGCCACTGGGATTCGATCCAATGTCTTGTTCATGAATTCTAACTTTAGTCTATTCATGACATAGCGCGACCATTAGTCAATGTCATCGCAGGCGAGCATTTCTCCTCACACCCGACCTGCTGCTGTACCCCACTGGTCACGACTTCCCACTAGAACCCAGTTAGTTATCTCTATGAATAGGACCAGTCACTAGTGAGCATCCCATTGATATTCAAGAGTTGGTTTACAGGGATTTGATTGATTGGTTTCAGGATTTCGTCATGAACTGACACCAATCAACTCCCTGAAAACCAACATTTGAATATCAATTAGATGCTCACTAGTGACTGGCCCTAATCAGGTATGTAGTTACCTGGGTTCCAGTGGGAGGTCGGGCGTTTTTTCCTAACGTAATTCTCATATGCGTTTTTCTGTGTTTTTTTTTCTAAACAGGGAGATGCTGTTGAAGATCAAAATGATTGGAAGGCTGCTTTACACACCCTACTGAAAGTACTCTATCAAATGACCTGTTTAATGTCACCATTTACACCATTTATGACAGAGTTTATTTACCAGTATCTGAAAGGTTATCTAGATTATACTGACAATTTGAAAGGTAAGTCATATTTTTTGGCTTTTTTTGACCTTATTCCTTTTTCTGATAGTTGTTTCGAAATGAGTCGGATGAAGCATGCATACATGAGTGTTAGTCTACTTCAGGGTTTCAAGGCTATTTTTAGCGACGATGGTGATGATGATGTTCTAGTTTCTCGTCTGAACCCGTCTACCACGATCAGATTTACCATGTATGTATCAGACCACATCAGAGAAACATCCTATTGTGTGAGTGCTGATGGGGGTGATATTGTAACGGTAGGACGCGCAACAGTATATGTCAGTAGAATTGTGTAGGTAGCTTTCGCCCGACTTTTCAGTTGCTTCCTCAACAAGACAGGCCTCGCCATCTGATCCCATGGATGCCTACCAATTCAACAACATCTTCGAACTTTCACAGGAAGCCCCGCATATCTCCCTCTCTTTGGAAGCTGCAGGCCACCGAGTTTCCTCCACATGGTCGGAAGCAGCGACACCAAATGTAACGGTTGTCAAAATACAGAAAATTTTTCGTATTCTGCTTCTTTTCATGCTTCCCATGTTGCTTTTACAAGAATATGTCACTTCTCCCCTGTTTGTAACTTAATCCATCATTCTGTTCCTCAAGATTGTTGTAGAATATAAATTCGTAGCGCCCTCAGTAGCGTCATACGGCAAGTAGGTGAAGTGTAATTCGAACCCAAGACCGTCTGATTTGAAACCGAGTGCTTTGGTCAGTAAACCGCGTGTATGTCTTTCTGGATTTAACGTAGAACTTGGCACCGAAGTGCAGCAGTTCGAGTTGCCACGTTCCAAATAGCACACAAAGGTAGACAAGAAGATGAGTGAAGAGAATCAATAGAGTTTTGACAAGTATAAGAGTGAAACAGAATGAGTAATGGTAGAAAGGAATATGAAAGATTACAGAGACTGAATACATCTGCGTAAGCCATTGACAACGATTTTGAGCCATGTCACCTATTGTCTCCAGCCATTGATTTTTGGAGTCCCGAGGGCGGGCCCCAACCGGGAAGTCTGCATCTCCCTCCCTACCTGACTCAGTTTAACTGTCAAAGATTTCATGGATTGATTGATGCCATGTTTTTGTTTGGCATGGCACCACTTACTCTTTTCCAACCTGCACCTATATCAGCTAGTAATGCCCGTCGGGGTGGGGGAGGCGATGGTTAGGCATGCGCAGCACGTGACCTAGCTACCTCAATCTATGTAACTTTATAGCCTCTTCGATTGATTTTCCCTCTTTGCCCAACACTCTACGCCTAACGTCAACATTTTACTTACCTTATTATACCACCTAACGTGAAACGGCAAACCGCGTGTCCCTACGATAATGTTGGAAGATGCAGATTGTTGAGGAGAACACTTTTTCCAACATTACGTGCTACCTTTTAACAACTCTCTCTAAGTAATATTACTCGTTAGTAAAAAATACTTTTCTGTGACGTATTGATGAACAACCCATTGGTTATATGCACTTTCCATTATTGTTTTCATTTCACTCACACAAACCTAGTTGGCGAAATTATTCCTTTTTTTCGCCGTACCGTAGTACAATCACAGTTAAACTGCTTGGTGCGGTTGTATAGTCTGTCCTCCTAGGAACTCCATCAACCACCTCATATCATAAGCTCTCACCTTCAGACTATGGCTACTGGCAAAACGATTACCTGACTGCTCATCTGTTTGCTGTGTGGTATGGTGTAGTATCTTCGATGTTTGTGTTGTGTGGGAGTTAGCAACTGCAAGTTTGCAATTTAGTAGTAAAGCTTAATAGTGCGTTTATACACAATGCAGAATTTTCATCAGGTTTATTATTGTAAGGTATGTACTCGTTGAGTAGTATCTTCAAGTAGTATAACGAGCTATAATATATCAACAATGGAGGGATATTCCAACATTAGAAGACGATAGACTTTATGAAGGAATCCTTAACTGGAATTTGGTGTCATCTCTATATAACCAAATTTTGTGCACCTTATCTTCCAATCACAATTTGCACATATCTTCCTTGTTGTACTACTTCTGCCCTTCCTTCGTGTTGTATTTCTGTGTGTTCTTTACACGTCTCTTATGTATCTTCGCAACACTGAATCATATTTGCTTTCTCTGAGAACAAATCTATCTCCCCGCTATTTGATGTTTTTCCCCAGTGAGTCAGTGATGACGTTCCCACCAAGGTTTGAACCCAAGGCCTATAGTTTCCAATGCCAAAGCATTATCTACTAGACCACCTAAGCCACGAGAGCCAGGTACATTCAGACGACGAGTCCCAAATAAGACGAAATGCGTATCCTGGATTCTATTACTAGTCACCATCAACCAATTGACTTCAAGTGTACTGTACTTTTAGTGATTATGTCCAACTAAAGTTCATTGTTATTGGTAATGGAATATGATATATATATATATATATATGCGGTATACATTGGTGTGTGTGTGTGCATGAAGGTACAATTGTAAGTCTTTTGCTATCCTTTCTATAAGTTACTGAGGTATAAGAGATCAACAGGCAACTAAAATTTTTTCAGTCTACTCCTGAATCAAATAATTACCCGGAAGTCTTCATCGAAAGATATTTAAAAAGTGAAGATAAGGGTGAATTTGAAATCTGTTGTTATGACTTGGGTTAGTGCAGTGGTGATTCCTTTTACCACAAACAAACGCCGAAGGATATAAAGCGAATCCTTAGCAATCGTGAAATAAGAGTGTATTTTCATGCAATAAACACCTTAAGCTCATCACTGATGAAGGTTGAAGCTGAAATAGAGGAAGACAACCAACAAAATTGCGTGTACCAGATAGATTGTGACGCTGTATATGTAGGATAAACTTCTAGACAGGTAAATGTGAGAGTGAAAGAGCATAAACAATGTTTAAAGGTACTTGCAAAGACAGCTGTAGATCTGAGGAAGCTAGAAAACAGATCGGTGATTGCACTAGACTCGACAGAAACGGGACACAAGATAGTCTTTGATGATAGGACCAAGGTTTTTCGTAAAGGTTTTGGTTCGTATAAGGAAAAACTGACGGCAGAAGCCGTACGCATATGAGTGAACAGGCGTGTTTGGTGTTAGCTGATGCATGCCAAGTCCTGATTAATAAATAATATATGGATATGTGTCACTAATATATCATACTTAATCTAAATTCGCCTACTGTCTATATCTTCTTATGGAGAAGCTAACAAATGATCTACAATTGTTCCCTCACACATACACACACACACCACTTATACATATATTTTTCATATTCACTCAGCAGTGACCATGAACTGTAGTCGAACGTAATCACTAAAAGAGTCTGATGCAAAAGCACAGTACACCGTTAGTAGTATTAAATGGTTAGAGGTAATTGGCAGGAAGCCTTGGAGCTAGGCTTTATGCCAGTTGGTACTCGTCGGCAAGGCGTATCTGCAATTTTGAAGGAACTCACGTGTCTTCTGAGATTCGAACTGGGGTCACCCTGTGCTGTAGTCAGAGTCGTTACCACTGAACTATTCGGGTTCGCGATTGACTTTTCGTAGGACTGATTTCTGATTGGATACTAGGTGGTAACTAGTGTAATGTGTTTAGTCATGTCTTTGGTACAGAATTATATATATATATATATATATATATATATACCTTTGTTATTTTAATTTTGATTAATTTCCATGAAGAAGCTCGTGCCACCAGTTTGCTAATCAAAACTGTTGAATTACTCATTTCAATTTCGCTGAGATTTTACAAATGCAATTTTCACATTTATCTACTCACCCAGCATCCAATTATTTTGGAACTATTTGGTGAAATCTTGGTCGCAGTTCATATGATCAATACATTTACCTGGATAGAAAATTTAGGTAGCTCAGTGATTTAAATAAAACACCAAATAAACAATAAACTAGGCAGCCATCATTAAACCCCTGGACATGATTAGATAAATAGACTATATTCTGCTAAATTTAGAGACCTATTCAGACTGGAACTCTCTCAGGCCTCTCAAGCCCCCGTATACTTTCTCCCCTTATGCAGTAGTTATTGGCTAACTCTGTCTAAGCCTGAAAACTAAGTATGACTACTGAACTGCAATTTCTGCTAGTTGAAGGCTATCGTGAGGCCAGCTGAAAATCAATGTATAGAGGACAGAGAGTAAAGTGGAGATGTGCTTCTGAAACCCCATATTCTTCCATTCAGAACCCAAGGGAAGAATTTATTCCTTTACGTCCTCAGTGGAACATACGGCTTCAAGCTAGAGAGGCTTGAAGTTTCGGTAGCAGTGGTGTTTTATTTTTTACGGGGTGGGGTCGCTAGCTAGTCTCATCCCCAACCTTCCCTCTTTACCGGTTTAGCGAAGTAAAGGAGTGTGTCTGTGGCCGGGGATCGAACTCTGAATTACCTGTGTGGTTGTTGAGCATTCTAATGCTGTGCCACCAATGCAGAATAATACTCATATATGCTAATATTTAAGGGATGCATTCTTTCTACGTTTTGTATAAAAGAGAAACTAGCAATTCATCCGCCTTGTTCTATTATTGTTACTGTTTTTCTTTTCTTTTCAGATCGTGCTTCTCTTTTACCTGGTTACTCACCTGAAACTGGTGCTCCAGACTCAGTCCACTATCTACAAGCACCTGAACCAAAAGTTGAATTAATCTCAAAGGAAATTGAAGAAATTGTCTCCTGGATGCAATCAACTGTTGAGCTAGGTCGTATCATACGTACCCGATGTAATCTCCCACTGAAAGCACCATTACGTGAAGCGATAGTTATTCATTCTGATCCAGGTGTTTTAAAACTTGTGAAGTCTGCACAAACTTATATTATTGAAGTAAGTGTTGTCTTTTGAGCTGATTGGCTAATATTTACCTGTTATTTCAGTTTCTGCAACTCTCTTGTCAACTTTAGGCTAAATTACTGGCGGTCGGTCGGTCGGTCAGTTTTCGACATAGAACTTTGCACATATGTGCGGCAGTTCAAGTCGCCACACTCCCTTCATGTAGCACACAAAGCAAGAGAAGACAGTAGGAGAAATGCATAATATAGACAGTAAACAGAGGTGTGAGACAAAGGAATGTTAATAACGAAGAACAAAACAGTTTAATTGGAAATCATAAGTCACAAGGAGTGGATGCATCTGCGCCACTGAGAACGATTTTGAGCCATGTCACCAATTGTTTCCAACCATTGGTTTTTACCGTCCCGAACAAACAAATTACTGGCGAGATATAAGGACTCTACTTTCAGCCCGTGCCTGTCGGGTTCGAGTCCCGGCTTCATCTGTTTCCGCCTGGGGAACTTGGCAGTGTCGTCATCAGCCCACAGTCAATAAGTTTGACTTGTAGCTTGATTCATGAAGGATATGTCCCAGGCGCTGTGGTAAAACAGATAAAACTCAGATAACAATCGCAACAACTTGTAAGGGCATTGTGCCTCACGGGGGGGCGACTTTGATGACTGAATTTCTGGTGTCAGTTGAATGATAAACCAACTTTCCCAACCACTATGATTACTCACAACCTATGTGATATTAAGGGCTTATGGAAACGGGGAATCGTAGACGTACTAATGAACTTAACCCTAACTAACTTCAGCGACTGAGGGATTGACTTGTTACCAGGGAATAATCTCCTTGACTTAGAATACTCAGATGATATAGTCCTCCTAGGTGAAGACGCTGAGAAAATGAAGCAGAGTCTTCTGCACACCTTGAGAAAGCAGCAACCTGCAAATGTTTGACATGCGGTTCCCTCCCTTTGTCAAATGTAAGGTGAAGATGCTACAGGATTGGACTGGATTGGACTACATCGATCGCTAGCTTAAAGATAGGCAGGAGTGAAGTCGTAGGGCGTGTTGATCACTTCACTTATTTGGGAAATTACGTCAGCCAACGCCAATGGGTTGATCGCTGATAAACTGTCAGCACGGATACAGAATACTCGTTTAACATTTGCCAAGTTACACCATTTCTGGCGTGGATGTAATATCAAGCTGGCTAGCTGTCGACAAATGGTCGTGTGTACTGCTCAACAGTTCTTTCCGTTCTCCTATATGCCTGTGAGCGAGACATAGCCATTGAAAGTGGGAGAAATGAAAAGGCTGGCTAGTTGCCTTTGATTATAGGTGCCTGCGTTCTATGTCCCATGTTTGGTGGTATAATAGAGTGAGCAATATTGAGGTTAGGCGTAGGTTGAGTGCTTGGTAGATGGGAGGGGAAATCAGTCGACGAGGTCATGAAGTTGTATGGGTTGAGAGAGATGGTTAAGACAACGGAAACTGTTAGCTGACACAGGATGATGGATCAGGTTGGAAAAGAGATAGTGGTGGTCAGACGAAAACATGGAATTAGTCAGTAAAATCCATAACAGTTAGTTTAAACCACATATGGCGACGTAGACTTCCTGTTTTGGGTCCTCGGGAGAGAAAAACCAATCAGGGATGGAGACAATTGGCTGGCTCAAAATCATTCAATGGTTGACACAGATGCATTCACTCTTTGTGATATATAATATCCAATAAAATTATATTGTTTTTCCATATTACTATTTTGTTTGCTTCACACTTGTGTTTATTATCATTCTTTATTCTCTTCTCTTGCTTTGTGTGCTACATGGAGTGTGGCAACTCTAACTGATGTACATCGGTGCAAAGTCCTATGTTGAAACCAGTCAGTATATTTGTATTAGTGTTTATCCTGTGTAATTGTTTTATGCTAGTTTAATATATCAGGTATTCAGGTTGCTCAACAACTACTTATGTATTCATGCAGTTAGCTAATGAGGCATACTTAGTGTGTGAGGCTTAATGATACTACCTGGCGGCGCAAACCTCGATAGGTGGAGCGGGATCTGAGCACGTGGGCCACCTGGACCGATGAGCGACAAATCCACATACATAATGAACATTAGTCAGTTAACTTGGTGGTGTCACAAGACAAATGGCCTAATTATTTGTTGAAATTATTATGACTATTATTATTTTTGAATTACGCGTTGAGTAATTTTATTTGACTGAAACATTCGCTGTCTAGTTACATGTCACCGGGCGGTAGTACGGACTCTTCGACATTGCCTTAAGGTTAACATGTGGAGGGGGTTGCTTTGATCGGTGAAGACCAGCAGGGAAATGTCAAACTAAATCAATTCATAAGAAATTCAGAGAGAGAGAGAGAGTGACTGGGAGTTCGATGCTGGGTTTAAATCAAAGTAAGAACACTATTGTCACCCACTGTGTGTGTACACGCATACACCCAGATGACAAGTTCTTGGCAGAGTGGTAATCCCATTGTCAGCAACGCTATTAACCACCATAGAGCTGGGTACTTTACTAATGAATCTGGTTTATGCATCTTATGCCTGCCTAGTGCGTCGGTGGTATAGCGGCTGGGACGCTCGCCGACCATGCACATGGTCCGGGGTTCGATCCCCGGCCACAGGACGCACTCCTTTACCTCGCTGAGCCAGAAATAATGCTGGTGAAGAGGAAAGGTTGGGCATGAGGCTAGCAACCCCATCCCGTAAAATAGAAACTGCTACAGAAACTTCAAGCCACCAACTTGAAGCCCTATGTTCCACTGGGGAACGTGAAGGAAAAAAATGCCTGCCTAAACTTCTTAATTCTGTGATGATTATCCTTCATTTTGATTTGATTTTTTCTTTTTCTTCACATCCTGTCAAGGAATTGAATGTTCGCCTGTTAACAACAACAAGTGATAAACATCGTTATGGTGTTCAACTGCGTGGTGTATTGAATCATAAAACACTGGGTGTACGCCTTAAGAACGATTACAAAGCTGTTGTAAATGCAGTGAAAGAAATGTCAACTGAAGAATTGGAAAAGTTTGTTCAAGTGAGTGTTTTTGTCATTTTGTTTAATTCATTCAATAAGTGATTCAATAGAAGCAAGTCAATTATCCAGGGGAGAATTTTCCTCGTGTACTAGATTGATTTTATAGTGATTTTATACCATAAGCAACGAGGTGACCAATTCTCACAACAAGTGGGATGGAATGCATAAACTTATGCCTTACAATGTACTACTGTAACGACAGAAGACAAGGGTCCAGACAACAGATTGTTTATCGGGAAAATCAATAGATATTTGTAGATTTTTATGTACATTATTATTAGCGTTATTGTTAGCAGAGAAGCAACGTCTTCTGATTGTGAATTGTCAATGATGAATATTCTGTTTATAGACCAACAATGGATAGTCGTTTTGTCATATAGTTTAGAACCTTCCAAGTTTTGATTGATTTTCTGTCCAACCCAATGGAGGAATGGTGAGACGGTCATCTCATAATCTCAGAATGCTTAGTCTGATTCATGACTGATCAGTTTAAAAAAAAATTAAATTTTAAACTGATGTCGATAGTTTATGACATTTTCCCTGAAATCGATTAAGCTTTCCACCTCCCGATGAAGTCGATTCATGATCATCGGCACCTTAAATTCAGACAATCTCTTAAAATCTTTAAAAAAACAAACATTTGTGTGCCTTTTGAAGAATCTCTCTGGTCATTTAATCTTTGTGCATGTTCTGTGTACAGTAATCATTATCTTGAAATAACAATAATGACAGTCTTCGAAAAGAGTGGATATCCCCGTCACAATTTCATCAAAAAGTGTTTAAACTTCAGTCATACAACACCAACAAGAAACCATCATCAAAGACCACAAGAAAATTCATCCTATCATATATAAAAAATATCTGTGAAACAACAGCTAGAATATTGAAACCGCTTGAAATAAATATAGAACACAAGTTAGCCACTCAGCACAATCGCTTTATTCGATATTGTACAAACCGAAAGACCCATCCAACAGAAAAAGAAGATAAAATCAATACCATTTACAAAATAAACCGTATGAACTGTAACTGACATTACATCGGCCAACAAAGTGGGCGTCTCCTTCGAATCAGAACCCAAAACCCCAAATGAGCTGTAAACAGACATGATATGTATTCCTGTTTCTTATCAATGTATATCGATAATTATGGACACCAACTTGGTGATTGGCATGATGGCGAAATTTTAAACAGAGGAAACACCAAAAGTGCAGTCAGAGAATTCCTAGTAGCCTGGTACTAAAGCGAATCAGCAATTAACAGACCAAATTTACCAAGTAATAAAAAGTAAACCACCACGTGACAAGAAAGTTCAAATTTCAAGTCAATAAAAATATGATCAGTATAGATGTAAATCGACTAACAGTCACGAAGATGGTTTCCAGGAGACACAATTCTATCAATCATGGAGACTGGCTTTATTCAGGCAATTACCTGGGGTTCCAGTGGGAAGCCGTGAGGCCAGCAGCTCAACAAACAAGACATTGCGAAGTGATCGCGTTATGTCATGAATTGGCAGGAGTTAGAATTCATGGGCAGGACATTGTATCAGGTCCCAGTGGCTGATGAATGGTCTACGAGCTCGCTAGTCTTGTAAGCAGAAGGTCTCAGTTTCGAACCCCGATGGGCGCGTACTGATGAAGACTCTCAAACTAGGACCAAGCAGCTATCCAGTACTTCCAGGTGGTTTTTCAGTGGTTCTCTAACTGATCATCAGCTCATAATGAAATCCTCCGACCAATCAAACAAAATCCCTACAAAACCAATATTTGAGAATTTAAATCAGTTAATGACGAAGTTCAACAATAGCGTCCCAGGAATGTGAACGCTCCAAAGACCTTGAACGCATGCTAGTCGTTAGCTAACAGCATCTGTCATTATCATTATTACCATAGCTATCACAATAGCAAATTTCACCCAGATCACGTTTTTAAGTACTATTTGGACAATGTGTTAGTAGCTCGTTAGGGTGAGGATTGGGGTTAAGGTAAGTATTGGGATTATGGTTAGGATCAGGGTTATAATTAGCATTACGGTTTGAAAAAGGGTTATGATCAGGGTTAGGACCAAGGTTAGTTTTAGTGTTAGGGTCAGGATTAAGCTTATGGTTACGATTAGGGGTAGATTTATAGTTGATGTCATTTATTTTAATTTGTTTTATTATCCACGCTTTCCTGCTAAGTAGTCGTCTATCCTCTTGCTGGAAATCATAATAATTCAACCGACGGCTTTTTTGGGAGACTGCAAGCAGGATGAGAGAGATAAACGATTCACAAAAAGTTTATCTGTAATCGTCTGGGTGAATACATGTACAGAAACTAGTCTAACTTAGCAACTGATACTCCTCGTTACAACTAGGACGTATTTCTAAGCCATATCAGAGAAAGATGGCCTGTTTAATGCGTTTTCAAGCATTTTCTTGTCAATATACATCATTTTTTGAGCAAACATTCCTCATTTTTATGATTGGTCGGCTGAAGGTCACTCGTGCGTTCACACTCCTGGGACGCTATTGTTGAACTTTGCCTAGTTCATTTTATGCTAAAACTTGCACTGAAGATGTTCCCCAAAAGGACGACGAAAGCTTTGCAATTACACGAACCAGCTTGGGGAACACAACTAATTGCAAGTAATCATTATTACAAGATATCACTGTAATTAGTTACATTTTTAACTCTAGCTTAAAGTGACCGTACCTTTTGTTATTACCTGTTCTTTTTCCTCTTTAAATTCCAAACAGACTGGCCATCTGACTGTTTGTGGACATGAATTATCCGGTGATGATTTGTCAGTGGTGTATACAACTGGTAGCGATGCCAATTCATCGGCAACTGGTACAAAACGTAAAGCAGAACAGACTACTGGGAACAGTAGTAATAATACTAGTACTGCTAATAATAATAATAATCAACAAAGCTTGTCAAAGTATGAAACTGCATCGGATGCTAGAGGTCTCTTAGTGATACTCGATACAACGCCGGATCCTGAACTAGAAAATGAAAGGTTAGCGAGGGAACTTGTTAATCGTATACAAAGAACACGTAAAAAGGTGAGTGGTACGATATTATTGTTATTATTATTATTCATGTAGACATCTATAAGACACGAAATAATTGAGCAAAGAATATCCTTTTCGATAATTTCCTCTTCTAGCTCTACAATTATATACATATGTTTGTATACATAGAACATTCTAAATTAGTAGTCTATAACAACGGGAGGGATATGAAAGAGGTTACTTCACTCACTTTTCTAGGGAGCATTGTCTCAACTACAGGCAGGTGGAACGGACGAGGATGTCAAATCGAGAATCGGGAAGGCGAGAAACACATTCATCAACCTGAAACCAATCTGGAAATCTTCGTCACTCAGCCTGCATCAACAACAAAATGAATCGGATTTTCAATACAAACGTCAAGTCAGTCAGTTCTTCTTTACGGATCAGAAACTTGGCCGGGTCACAAAGAATATTTCCAACAGCCTGTTGCAGACCTTTATCAACAACTGTCTTCGCTGGCACTATACTGAAGAGCAGATGGCCGGAAAGAATCACCAACAAGAAACGATGGGAACAAACAAAACAAGAACCAGTCGCCAACCATCAAATATGCAGGAGAAAGTGGAGATGGATTGGACACTCGCTGAGGAGGGAGGCCGCTGGGTGACACCGCGCGTCAGGCCAGTGCTCGAGTGGAACCCGAAAGGGAAGTGGCGAGTGGGACGTCCACGGGTGACATGGAGGAGATCGTGTGAAGAAGAGTTGAAACAGTATGGATTAACCTGGATGCAAGTGAAAAGTGCAGCAGAAGACAGAAGCAAGTGGAGACGTGCAGTTGAAGCCCTATGTTCCACTAGGAACCCAAGGGAACAATAATAATAATAACAATATTAGTGTTTTTTTAAATACGATCGATTCGTTAAATAAGATCAACGGAATTACAGTTCGTTAAAGATGCTTAAATAATAATAATAATAAAGATATAGTAGCAAATAGAATATCAACTAAAATTAGAAAAATTCCACAAAAATCGAGGATCATTCAAACCTAGATGGCCAGCGAGGTAAGGATAATGTCTGAACTAACTTCTAATGGACGCACAAATTAGGCTTCTTAATATGGATCCCAACAGCCAGCCTCAACAATATTTAGTAGTCGAACCCTTAAGGCGAAATTGAGATTTGTTGGTATGCGGTAAATGACCCTGAAGGTATGGTTAACGTCAATCTTGTGTTCTGTATCCACAAGATGAGATAGAATAGCTCTACGAATAGATTTTGTCTGTCCTTCGTTTTACTACACGAGGTGATGTTCGGAAATTCGACGCGAAACACGCCAAATTGTACGGCCTATGTAACTGGCTCCACAGGAGCAGTTAAATTGGTAGATGCACATGGAAGGGGCGAAACTGGGCAGTTTGTCATTTACCCCAGAACGCAAGAGAGCAGTGGTTTTGAAGACACAGCATAATTCAGCGGCAGGGAATGCTCTTCGCTTTACCGCATTTCTAAGGCGTTGTGTTAGTATCTCACTGATGCTGTCCCCGAGGAACTTAATTTGTAAGAATAAGACCTTCCTTTTTCGGAACTGTTGGTACCTTGGGATGCTTTGATTTTAGATTCATATTCTTATCAATAAACTTTTCTGGATAACTGTTTTCACTCAACAACCGTGTAATATTATTAAGTTCCTCATCAAGACAATCATCCGAGCAGATTGTTCTTGCTCTGTGAACCAAGCACTTTATCAGATTGCGTTTGTATTTCAAGGTCACGAAACTGAAAGGGAGGAAGTATGCTAGTGCATTGTTATACGGTTCAGTTACACGTCAATTACATAAACAATTAGTCATCGGAGAAAGAACTTGAATGTATCACGAAATGCGTACTGAATAGCACTGATGATAATAGTAATAGTGGCAATAATAAAATTGAAACGGGTTAAGATAATGGTGCTGATAAAGGACAGTTTTTTAAATGAATCAGGAATAAGGAAAAGAGGTCGAATAAAATATGGAATAAAATAATAATAATAATAATAATAATAATAGTTGATAAGTATGACATATTACCATGGTGGATTCAGAGTGACTACCATTCCCTTCTGTACACAGGAATTGGCTTTATAAACTCTAATTGGAAAAGCCTCCACATTTGCAAGCATCTTTCTGTTTGTTTGTCTGCAGACAACAGTGAATTACTTCACAGAGTCAGTATCATGGCCACCATCGTCTATAACATGTACTGTTATTGGACATTCTGTTACTTTGTCTTCGGTTACTTTCCGTTTGACTTATGTATTCGGTTCTACAAACACAGTGAGATTGATATACGCAGTCTGAAGTGTCTAGGATTGGCGACCGATCTGTCCAAGATTGTTGAAGCACACTAGCTTGGTGATGTTAAGCGAGACGAGTTTTGCAGCATAATAAGTTCGCTTTGATAGCTTTATCACATCTTGGTTAGACTACTTGCAAACTGACGCATGTGCAGCTTTTTGAATAAAGGAATATACACAATTTTCGCAGAAAAAAATGGTACCATCATTGTTTATTCCGTTGGCGCCTCATCAGCTGCTTACAAGCCAAAGACATTATTAAGTATATTTACAGAAACCAATTTAACATACTTGCACAGAGTTCATTTTTAAACAAAAATTAATCAATATATGCGTACAATGATAATAATAATAATAAACAATTTATCCCAAACAAAAGCAGATGATGAGAAGCCAACGAAATAAACAATCATGTGGTACCATTTTATTCTGCAAAAACCGCTGTTCTTCTTGCTTTATTCAAATTCACTAAAGGGAAATAAATGTATAAAAAATATACAGTTTTCTTTGAAACTGTTTGGATAGTTTCACTAGGGTTTATTTCTTTGGAATATTTTCTGATCAACCAACCTGTCAGGATATGCATTTTATAGTGCCATAAGTCGTATAGCTAATATAATAATGGTTACATAAGAGAAGTGGAACAATAGTGACATCATGGGGTAAATTATTTAATTGGATGAGTTGTGGTTAGGATAGAAAGAAAAATAAATGAAGTTTTAGAAAAAGTTGGTTAGAAGCAACAGAGAGTCATTAAATGGCTTAGTAGAAGTAATTGAAAACTTCTCTTTTGTATGCAATGCTCTACTAGTTCCAATAATCCAGAAGTCTAGAGCTTCAGCAATGCAAAGAGAGCTGGAATACCTGTGAAGGCACTATGGAGTGTCCCACTGTGTGAAGTGAAGTAGGTGGTAAGGTGAGTGATTACAGCACATATATTATGTATCCTCTGAGGTAACATTTTCTTTATTGTCTGTCTCCAATAATTATTATTTCCATTTTACTTTTATCTGATCCTTTTTCTCTCTTTTTGTTGTTCTATGGCACTGATTGATTTCTTTATTCAAGGCTGAACTAGTTCCTGAAGATCCAATTGTCATTGTAGCCGCCACTGAGATAGACGCTTATTACAATATTGCTGGCCCAAATGGCAGTTATGTTAATTTCATTCAATCAACTATTAAACAGCCTTTAGCTGTAATGAAACAGAATTTGGACAAGAGTAATGCGAATAACAGTGTGGAGATTATGAAACATGCTAGTAGTGTTCTTCCGGATGGTTGGCAATTGGCTAAAGAAATTATACGCGAAACAGTATCGGTAAGAAATATATACTTATTGATAATTTTTTACGTGTTCAAAACTGATCACTGTCACTGTGTAGTTTGTTCACAAAAATACGGTGGGGGGCGGGATTGTTGAACATTGTCCATCAATGTATCACTCTTGTTGTTATCATGCTGTCTAACTTTAAAACGACGTTGCCCTTTTCTTCTCGTTTCTGTTTAATTTCATCATAGATGTACTAATGGACTTAACCCTAACTGACTTCAGCGATTCAGGGATTAACTTTTTACTAGGGAGTAATCTCGTTGATTTAAAATAGGCGGATGATATAGTCCTCCTAGCTGAAGACGTTGACAGAATGTAGAGTCTTCTGAGCAACAATCTTCGAGTGTTTTGCATGCGATTCGCTTCTGTCAAATGTAAGATGATGAGGCTACAGGTCTGGACTGGACTGGACTACATTGACTTTTACCTTGAAGTCAGGGAATGAAGTGGTGGAGAGTATTGACTAATTCACTTATTTAAGAAATTGCATCAGTCCCATTGAGTTAGTCACTGACGGATGGATACAGAAGGCTCGTTTGGAATATGCCAACTTGACATGATATGCGGCTGGCTATCGATCAAGGGACGTGTGTGCTGCTCAGCAGTACGCTCCGTCCTCCTTTATGGCTATGGGCGAAACATGGCCATTGCAAGTGGAAGTCATGAAAAGCCTGCCTAGCTGTCTGCTTTCTATCTCCCGTGTTAGGTGACAGGCGTAAATAGGGCGAGTAATGCTGAGGTTAAACATCGGTCGAGTGCTAGGTAGGTAGGTGGGAGGAGAAATCAATAGAAGAGGCTGTGAAGTTACATCGATTGATAGAGATGGTTAGGACATGTGTTACGTATGCCTAACCATCGCCTTTACCGACGACTGGCAATGTTAGCTGAAATAGAGTCAGGTTGTTGGAAAAGAGGCAGTGGTGGTCAAACGAAAATATGGCTTCATCAGTCAATAAAATCCACAACAGTTAGTTCAAGCCAGTCAGTCAGTCACGTAGGGAGGAGTAGAGTGCCTGTTTGTGGTCTTCGGGATGCTGAAAATCAATAACTGGAGGCGATATGTGAGGCAGTATGGCCCAAATTTATTCTCATTGATGGCGCAGATGCATTCACTGTCTGTGACCTCCCATATCCAAGGAAAGCTCTATTGTTCTTCCACGTTACTATTTTTTCCCCCTTACATTTCTGCTTATTATGATTCTTCAGAATCTCTTTATTTCTCTTACGTCTTCCTCTATGTGGTACGTGGAGTAGGGCAACTCTAACCGCTGCACATATGTACAAAGTTCTATGTTGAAACCAGTCAATGATAGTTTTTGATGTAGTGCATTAACTATACCAAATACAACTTGCCGTGTATGTTTCCATGACTCTCCTCAACGGTGGAACTGTAGCTTATCGGTCTAGACTGGCGACATCCAACCAGTGAGTCACAGCTTCTAACAATGCTCCACTCACCGAAGTCTGGGCAGCCCGACATAGTATAACAATAAGTGGGATTCATTGCTAACTGTGTGAAATCACAAGCGGTTTTTGAGCAACTCTGATTTGATTTGATTCAGATATTCACTATGAAACATATGTGGTTAATCTAAATATATGTGATCACCACTCAAATATGTTGTGATTGCTATATGAACAATACAAATCCTAAGCGTATTGTGCTACCCCAAAGGAGGAGAGTAGAATCAATTCATACGATATGAATTTTTATTGGAAACATCTTACTAATGAGAAGTCAATGTTTGGTGCAATATTATTTCCGTTTGAAATGAATCCGAAATTTACCTTTGTCTAACTGACTGACTAACGGAATATCGATGTAGAACTTTACTAGAAGTCAAGCAGCCCAAGATGGCGCACTGCATTTGGTACACAATTATTATTATTATTGTTTCCTTTAGTTTCTAGAGGAATATAGGGCTTCAGCCGTGCGTCTCCATTGCGTTCGGTTCTCTGCTAGAGTCTTCACCTGGCTCCAAATCTGCCCGCACGTTTTCATCTCCTCTTCACATGACCTCCTCCAAGTCACCCTTGCTTGCACTGACGACCAACTCACCGCTTCCCTTTCGGGTTCCACTCAAGGGCTTGTCTAGTGGTGTCACTTGATGGTTTCCTAAGAGTATGTCCAATCCATCTCCATTTCCTCCTGCCTATTTGTTTCAAAATCGGTTCCTGGTTGGTTTATTTTCAGATATCCATGTTGCTGATCTTTTCTGGCCGGCCATCTCATCTTGAATAGTATTGAGCGAAGCCAGCTGTTAATGAAGGTCTGTAGTTTGTTTGAGATGCTCTTTATCACGCGCAGTGCAAGTCTCTGATCCGTATAGTAAGTAGCACTGACTTCACATTGGAGTTGAAAATCCGGACCTTATTTTTGATTCTGAGTGTTGTTGACCTCCACACAGACTTGAGAGTAGTGAAAGCTTGTCTTGCTTTTCCGATTCTTGCTTTGATATCCTCGTCAGTTCCGCCTTAAGTTGAAACGATGCTTCCCAGGTAGGTAAAAGAGGTTGTTTCTTTCAGGATCCTCCCATTTATGCTGATCGTTGTCTGTTGTTGTTGTTGTTCTTGCCCAGGAATCTTCATCACCTCTGTTTTCTCTATGTTCACCTGAAGGAAGTCCTATCTTTGATGCTTCTTCTTCTGCCAACTTGCTGCTTTTCGCTTGCATATCTTTCAGTTTGTGGGAAATCAGATATATATCACATCGGCGAAGTGCAGATGATATATGTCTGCTGGAGAAAGAATCTTTACTTTGAAAAGCATAAGGATTTAATGAACTACAAACGACTACAAAGAATGAGTGCATCCACAGAATTAAGAATACTTTTCATTCATATCACCAACACTCTTCACAGCCATTGATTCTCACGATGTCAAGAGTCTCCAAGCACGTAATCTCCATTTCCCTACGTGCTTCCGACTAGCAACTTAAGTCTTCACGGACTAATGCCCGTAGTTTGGTTTAGTCACTCATAACTCTTTTCCAAACTAAATCGTATGTTAGCTGACGTTGTTCGACGTGGAAGATGATCACTTTGCATACGTAATACGTTTCCTAGCAATGTCAATCGATGTAACTTCACAACCCCATCAATTGATTGACTTCTCTTCGTCGATTTGAACACCTCATTTACGGGGAACAGTTTTTTTTCATATGACACTGGGCTAATAATGCTGTCCAGTCACCCAGGCTGAAGTCGCTGAAGCAGGACTTCAACTTGTCACTTCTCATCGACTGAAAGTGGAGCCGTCAAGCTGACTCATTCGATCCTTATGTTTTGACTGAGTGTGGTTGCGTGTTCACAATCCAACTAACTCTTGTCTTGCAGGAGTCCATTAATGTTGGCCTTCTTTTCAATAGCATTATTTGTTATTTCATTAATGAGAAAGTCCAGTAGTTAGCTACTTTTTGAAACTATAAACGCTGGACGAAGAAGTTCTTCGAACTCTTCTCTCAAAGGAGATAACTTTGATGTTGGTGGAGATGTTGGTTCAAGTAAACAGTATTAAAATACTGACTGAGTGACTGACTGGTTTCAACACAGAATTTTGCACCGATGTGCAGAACTTCGAGTCGCTACACTCCAAGTTGCAAACAAAGCAAGAGAAGAAAGTAGAAGAAATGCAAAATAGAGAAATTAAACAAGGATATGAGGCAAAAAGAATAGTAATATCGATGAAAAATATAGTTTTATTGGCTATTATAAGTCCCAAGGAGTGGATGCATCTGCACCAGCCATCACCGAGAACGATTTTGAGCCATGTCACCAATTGTCTCCAACCGTCATTGGTTTTTACCACTTCGAGGACCGTAAATAGGAAGTCTACACCTCCCTACGTGGCTGGCTGGCTTAAACTAACTGTTGTGGATTTCATTGACTGATGACGCCATGTTTTGGCTTGATTACCACTGGCTCTTTTCCAGCCTGATCCATTCTATGTCAACTAACATTGCCCATTGTCGAGGAAGGCGATGGCTAGGTTAGGCATGCTTAAGACATGTCCTAACCATCTCAGTCCATGTGAATACGGTTACGGTTAGTTCGGTTTTAAAAATTGAGTTACCCAGGAAAATCTTTGGGCCACACTTATTATTTGAAGACTGCAGATATTTCCTACTTTACCAGAGTTGAAGTAGGTGCAGCCGAGACTAACCACCTGAAAGTCAAGTGATAACAATGTTGTTTATGGACATTTCATGTATGTTACAGAGGTAAAACAACACATAAAATCGTTTACATAAACAGTGTAGAAGGAATCTGTCAACCAGCAATTACCACTACTTTCAGATGACGAAATATATAATAAATTTGTTTGAAACAACAAATACAGAAGCATCATAAATTTGAAATTGCTCAAAGAAAAACAACACACAGTCATATACTGCATATATGAAATATGAGTAAATAACATTTATCTCCTTTTCCCCGAGTTGGGCGTATTTCGTCACTATGGTTACAGCTAAACAGAAGTTTGTTATTGTCAACAATAGACGACTTCTTTAAAATTTCGAGTTTGACATATTGATCAGTTTTATGTACCCACCTCTCAGTTGAGAGGAATGATACAATTAACATTAAATGACTACTGTAGTAGTATAAGCTACTTATAAGTAGTAGTATGCTTAACACAATATATTAAGGCATACAATAAAATTATAGCACTGTCTGCTTTTTGTTTATTGGAGTTTATATCTAGTAGATGTGAATTCTGAGAAGACTTGTATCTCCGATGGATGTTTTCTCTAGATGTTGTTGTGCTGGAGCTTTCATTAACCTTCTTGGACAACTAACTCTTTCAGCGATAACTTTACTGCAAAGTTTTAAGGGGAACAAATATTTCATCAATTTCAATATGACTTCATAACATTGCTTGAAGGTTAACCGACTTTAGCCAATAAGGCTTGGATTCGTGTCCCACTCCAACTATTTCTGTCTGACGACGATGGGATAATGTTAGCCGGCATAACAAATTAAGAACAACACATTTAAGCGAACAATGTTGTGTTTTCAATTAGATCTCATCAGGCTTAACTCTAGTATAATAAAATTCAAACATAAACCAAAATTGGGTTTGTCTATAGGTTAACAAGATTGTGCATATAAATTGTGCTATTAGTCATAATAATAGTAATGATAATAACAATAGTAATGATTCTGACCTTATCCTATCATCGGATGATGAACTAACTAAATACAAAACGACGCTAGTTGACAGCTGCCAACAATACAAGAATAATAGACATTCAGTAAATAGTCTGTTATCTAAACAACACAGAGAAGCCCTAAGAGAACTTAGAAGCAACGAAAGCTTAATTATTAGCAAGCCGGATAAAGGTGACGGTATAGTTTTACTGGACAAAAGTGATTATGTTGAGAAAATGGAAGGTATTTTGAGTGATCAGACTAAATTCCAATCTCTTGGTTTTTCCAAAGACCTCAATATAATAGCGGAGAAACTAATGACCGACTCCCTCAAAAAACTGAACCAAATAGGAGTATTATCATCAGCCACGTATGAGTGCATGAAACCAACGGGTACCAATACTCCATGTCTTTACGATCTACCAAAAGTGCACAAACCGGGCCTGTTTTAGATATGTATAACTCTCCATTTCACGGAACAGCGAAGTGGTTAGTGAAGATTTTGGGTCCTTTGCGCAGAGAAGTCGTGCAACATAGAATTAGTGATGTCTTCGACTTTATTTCTAAAATATCCGAGACTAATGTGAAGTATAAACGCATGTATCATCACTATTCACTAATTTACCACTAATGGAAACAGTAGATTATATCTGTCAAGAAATCGCCGAAAGGCAATTAGACTTGGGAATCCCCTTGTGTAGCTTCAAAGAATTACTTCTTAAATGCACAATAAATGTTCATTTTGTCTTCAATAATTCATACTACCGACAAGTACATGGACTAGCAATGGGTTCACCATTACGCTCAATATTAGCTGAATTCTTCCTCGCAAAAACTGAAGGACATCATCAAGGAGTTTGTTATGTATTATGGTTATGTCGATGATACAATTATCTTAGCTGATGGGAATATAAACATAGACAAATTGTTGATGAAATTCAACAACATTCTTCCAACACTTTTACTTGTGAAGAGAAGCAGGATAGTAAACAATATTTTCTGGACATCTTGTTAAGTAGGTGAGAAAATGGATCACTTGGGAGTAGCGTGTATAGAAAAAGCACATTCACAGGACAATATACACAATTCCTTAGTTACACGCCCGTTAAATATAAAAGAAATGTTAAATTTCTTACGAGCAGAACAAAAAAGATATGTACGGATGACCACTTACAAAAGGAATTTGAATATATTCACGATTCCTTGACGGAGATGGGCTATCCGAGTAATTTCATAAAGAAACATATGAAAACACTGGAGAGAAAATCTGAGACTATGATTGCACGTAAAAAACCTCTATTTATTAAGTTACAATTTAATGGTGACTTGTCAAGTGAGATTTTTGTTCCAGATACTTTCCAGGAGTATACGAAGAACGTTTTACGCAGCAAACCTATGTTTGCCATTCTCTAGCCGACAAATGATCGGGACGCAAACGAAGGATAAGCTAGATACTTTTGCCACATCTATGTGCATTAAATAAAATGAGTTTTAATGAAGATGTGATAAGATTAAGGGGGGATAAGAGAGGGGTCGGAAATATAAGTAAGGGGGTGGTGGAGAAGTCATCAGTTGGTTATGTTTTCATAGGCCAAGGGAGGGATAATGACTATACGAACTTCTTTTGAATGCACAAATTTAGGTTTAATAGTTCGAATGCTTATTACCTCAGCTGTGTGAGTGCAGTAGACGAATACGAAGTCTAATGGAAAGATTCGTTGGGATACGATGAATTACCTTGAAAGCTATTGTTTTCTCCACTACATGACCATTATCAAACTAAATATGACAAAATCAAGCTACGGATTGTTTTTGTCTGCCCTTTGCCAAACCACCACGAAGGGAGATGTTCACTAATACGTTGGCTAAGCTGTCTAGTAGTACGCCCAACATAACTGTCACCGCAGGTGCAGTTGAATTGATAAATGCACAGAGATGTGGCAAAACTATCTAGCTTATCTTTAGTTTGCGTTCCGATCTTTCTTTGGCTAGAGAAAGACAAACATAGGTATGCTGGGTAAAACGTTCTTCGTATTCATGAAAAGTCTCTGGAACAAAAACCTCACTTGATAAGTCACTATTAAATTGTAACTTGATAAATAGATGTTTTTTACGTGCAGTCATAGTCTCGGGTTTTCTCTCTAATGTTTTCATATGTTTCTTTATGAAACTAATTGAATAACCCCATCTCCGTCAAGTAGTCTGGCTCATACATTAGCTTAATGTATGGATTTCTATGTAGGATCACTAAGCATATTTTTACTATTTTCTATATTATTCCCTTCACTATTACTAATCAGTAAAGAGTGAAGATACCTAGTAATTGTGTTGATTCAGTTCCCTTGATAAAACATTTGATAAAGGAAGTAAGACCTAATTTGCAGTATACAATAGTATCATTTGGTTTTGCTGTGGTTCTCACCAGCTGCAGAGGCTACCTGAAACTTTCCTCTGTTTTTGCCTGCATCCCGAATGGATCATAGGACTTTGAACTTTTTTGAAGTTTCAATAGACGCGGTGTTGTTTCTTCATACAGAGTGGGTTACTAGCCTCACGCTCCAACTCCCTTCTTGGATTCACTATCCGCTAGGCGAGGTTGAAAATACATCTCCTGGGAATCGAACCCGGGCCTTCTGTGAGTAATCTGCTTGAAATTATAGTGAATCAAACAAGAATGTAAATGCCATATGTGTTACATATTAGATTGACCACAGAGAGGATGTCGTAAATCATCCAGCACTACGCCAAGGTTTTCCAATGTTTCTCCAACTGACGTCAACTTCGTGATCAAACCTGCAAAACAAAAGTCAATAAACGTTGCTAACTCATGACAGTTACGTAACTACCCAATAAAATTATAGTTTTTGAGATTGAAATTAACTCAGTGAGCTATATTCACTAATAGGAATGATTATGCAATAAACGTGATTGAAACTGAAATTTAGTTACCATGGTATTAGGAGATTGAACACACTCTCTGTGTGTATATGTATGCAAAGGTTTAGTTGGAAATGTTTAATTGCAATTGCCTTCATCAATCTTAGTAAACTTTACTCTTCTTCTGTACACCTTTAATATTTTGAAGAATTTAAAGAAAATTAAGAAATTGTCTAGTTGATTGTGCTTTGTGAATGTGTTTGTTTACTGCCTATTTGGGTATAAACATCCTGGAAAATGTGATGGAGAAGATTTGTAGTTTAGGTGGATGATTTTGATGAAGTTGTTGTGCTCTCTGACTTAGCTGGATGGTTTATTTACGAAGCTTTCATTGTCCCCTATACTAGACAACATCTTCAGCGCATACTTCAATTCGATGAATTGAGCTTTTGAGATTTCTCCATGAGTTTATTAGTCATCTCTCCAGGTCGGTGACTTTGAACGTGATCGGTTGTTCTTGTTTGTTTTCACACCCTCTAGCTTACTTGTATTGCTACTGATTGTTTCCTTGACCTAAAGTTTGACCCTTTGTGAAGGAATTGCATAGAAACACTATTCAAGAGGGCCAGGACTCATTGCAGCACCTTTTCCTTTAGGAAGAATGAAGAAAAATATCTCATGGATGTCTTCCAAAAGAATGGATATCCATGGAACTTCATCAAAAAGGAGACATCTATCCCCAGGCCAACATATCGAATCAATGGCCGCCAAGGAAAGCACAAAGAAAATCGCTCTACCATGTATAAAGGACATATCAGAAATCACTGCGAGAGTTTTCAAACATTAAGGAATTGATGTCGCACACAAACCAACAAAAACACTTCACTCAACTCTATGTCAACCAAAAGACTCAACAGCGAAAGAATATAAAACCAACATCATCTTTAGTATAAGTTGCAATGACTGCAGGAAACACTACATTGACCAAAGTGGACGTACCCTCCTTATCGTCTTCGCATCCATGACCATAAACTAGCCGTCAAAAGACAACATAATATCCACTCCCTCACTCATATCACCGCACACAGACAACCACGGACATCAATTCGACTAGGACAATGTTCAAATATAAGACAGAGGAAACACCAACAATGCTAGAGAATTTTTAGAAGTCTGGTACTCAAGTGAATTGGCAATCAATGGACACATTGACGTAGACAAGATTTACCAATCGGTAAGAAGGAAACCTCATATACATAGAATGAAACTTCAGGTCAAGGAAACAATCAGTTCCAATACAAGTAAACTAGAGGGTGTAAAATCACACAAGAACAACCACCTGGGGAAATGACTGATAAACTCGTGCAGAAATCTGAAAAGCTCATTTCATCGAATGGAAGTATGCGCTGAAGATTTTGCCTAGTATAGGGGGCAATGAAAGCTTCTCATGAAAACCATCCAGCTAGCTCAGAGAACACAACAAAATCAAAATCCTAGAAAATGTTCTGAAAGCCAAATCTATCCAGTCTTAATTCTTTTCTTTTGCTTTATGAATATTGTATATCTTCTTCTATTGATATTTCATTTCTCATGATTTTCTTTTCACGTTTTTTTAAAATAAAATTTAGATTCCACCAGATAATATCGATCTTATCCTGTTTTCAAGAAAGCAGTGTAACACCAACGACACCAACAGTACATCGAATGCTACTGTCGAACCGTTACATGTTACTGTTGCCTTTAGTCATAATGACAGTGGTTCAAAGAATATTAAAGTTCAATTGAGAGATTCAAATAATCATTGGTTTGTACAAAATACTGACGATTTATTAAGAAAGGTAATTCAATAACTAATTATGTTAAAATTGCATATTTATTGTGCTTGCTGTACATTACATTATGGATAAAATTTTATTTTGATAAAATCACACAATGGTGTTATACAGTAATATTTACTGATGATAACCACGTTTCGAGCACAATTTATTTATTGTTCATTGGACTCTGTCCCAGTGACTGTGAATGGCCTTATAATCGGATGGTCCTGCGTTTGATCTCCGGTGGGGTCATGGGTGTGTATACCATTGAAGGATCTCGAACCACAAGTAAGATGCAGCAACAGCTGTTCAGTTCTCTAACTGAAGTTACTTCGTGATCACACATAAACTGGTACGTTTGTGTCCTGTAGTCTGGGTGGGTTGGATTATTGCCTAAGTTTCCATGATTGTCGTTTTACCCAGTGCTGACTTCAATATAATAGTAAACTTATAGAGTTCTCCATAAGTGTAATTATTATCTCTGCTGATGAATTTGAAAGTGGTTGGTTATCTGGCTAACTAGAAACTGTGATGGCCTGTTTTTGCTGACCTGTCAGTCAACCTTTTTATCCGTGTGATATAAATTTAAACTGGAAGATATGCAAGTGAAAAACAACAAGGTGGAGGAAGAAGAAGCATCAAAGATAGGAAGGACTTCAAGTGAACATAGAGAAAACAGATGTGATGAAGATTCCTGGCCAATAGCAACACCAACAACAACAGACAACAATCAGCATAAATGGGAGGAATCTGAAAGAAGCAACCTCCTTTACCTACTTACCAGGGAAGCATCGTTTCAACTACAGGTGGACGGAACTGATGAGGATATCAAAGCGCGACGATCGGGAAAGCAAGACAAGCTTTCACTTCTCTCAAGTCTGTGTGGAGGTCAACAGCACTCAGCATCAAAAATAAGATCCGGATTTTCAACTCCAATGTGAAGTCAGTGCCACTTTACGGATCAGAGACTTGGCGTGTCATAAAGAGTACCTCAAACAAACTACAGACCTTCATCAACAGCTGCGTTCGCTTAGTACTCAAGATCAGATGGCCAGAAAAGATCAGTAATAGGGATCTCTGGCAATGAACGAACCAACCCAGCAGGAACCAATTGTGCAACAAATAAGCAAGAAGAAATGGAGGTGGATTGGCCGTACTCTGAGGAAACCATCAAGTGAAATCACTAGACAAGCCCTCGAGTGGAACTGGCCGAATGGGAAGCGGTGAGACGGTCGTCAGTGCGAGAGTGACATGAAGGAGGTCATGTGAAGAGGAAATGAAAGTATGTGGGCAGACTTGGAGCCAAGTGGAAATGTTGGCAGAGAATGGAACACAATGGAGATGTGTGGCTGAAGCCCTATGTTCCCCTAGGAACTAAAGGAAACAATAATACATAATAATAATGTTCTAAACAATCAGTTCCAATAAGTTTGACTGCGCGTAGGTCACAGTGACATCATGGAATATTTGTCGTCATTCTTAGGAATGAAGTTCGGTTTTTATTCCTAAATTATTATCATTACCGGAGGTATTTGACAAAAGAGCGCTAAAGTTGCTGTTGCCTATCTTAAGATGAACACAAACTTGGTACGTTGTGGGCACCAAGAGATGCTCCAAACGAATCTCCTTATTTATGGGAGGGTTACGATACTTTCCGGACGCTCAGATCGAAGCAGGTGGTTGGTTTAGGCGTCAACCCTCTCCGGGCCTTTCACATAAAGTTGGATTCATAAAGCAGTGCAGCAACGTCAGCAGTTTCTTTCTTACGATCGTCATACATCATTCGATCCTGTCGGATTCTAGAGACCATCTATCAGGATTTCGCAGCCCCCTCCCTCCACAGGTAGAAATGTCTTTCCCCAGTGTGGTTGTAAATGCCATTTGTGTTTCCCACTGGATAATGAGATTAGGATGCTTAGTTCATTCATATTTGGAAAGTCTTTCCTCCCCCCCCCCCACCACCACCACACACACCATTTAGGTTTGAACAACAATTTGGTTGTATCCCTAATCCGCACTACTTACACATCACAGTCCGCAAAACTGTATAGGTAATTTATAAAGTCTCATGCTGATTCTTTGTTATTTATCTATGTTGAATTATTCTTCTCTCTTTCTCTCTCTCTCTCTCAGGTGAAATGTGTTCTTGGATGGTCGAACAGTGTCAATCTACAGTTGTATACTTCCAATCCTAAGAATTCGACTGATGTGACGAAGCGTCTTGTACATCTACCGTGTAATCAGTTACCTACTTTGCATGGGACTACTCTGTATGCTGCTCTATCTTAACTTTTGTGTGTACAAGTGAACTAGTATTATGATACATATATTTCTTTTGTATGGATAATCGGTACTTTATATAAAGTACACGAACAAAATAGTAGTTTTTATTGGATCATTTTTCTGTACGCGTGTTTGTGTGCGTGCGTGTCGTGTGTGTATGTGTGTGAATGGTTCGGTGACATTGAAATACTGAAGTGAATTACTTGAAGTAGTAGGAAGAGCAGTAGTGTTGTGTGAGACCACCACCTAAGGGGACTTTTGTTGTTTTTTGTCCATTATTACTATAATTCCTTTGCGTTCCGAGTAAAAAAAAGTTGGGCTTCAACAGAGCACTTACATTTCATCGTGTTCTCTGAAGTCCTCTTTAGCAGTTGGCTGCACAACTGCCTATAGGCTTTCGTTTTTGCTCTTTATATGACCCCCCCCCCTACGTCAAATTTGGACTAACGCTTAAATCGTTGCTTCTCCTATTTGTGTTCCTCTTGAGGGCCTGACTCGCAATGTCAATCAGTAGTTTTCTCAGCGTCTGTGCTATCCGTTTCTATATTTTTCGTCAGGCAATAGATTCTTGGTTTTGTTCGTTTGCTAGAGTTCCTTGTACTAAAGTCATTCTCGCCATTTAATCTTCAGCTGTTGATGCTTGTGTGCATCAGACTGTGTTGGGGATGCTTTTCATAAGGCACCAAATCTCTGAACTATATAGAAGCAGCCTTGAAAATCCGAATCTTGTTCTTTATCCTGATAGCAGAAAATTCCCACACTGATTTCAGAGTAGTGAATTTCTATCTTGCTTTGACATCTTCATCATTACCTCCTGTGGTTGGAACGATGCTGCTAAATAGGTAAAAGAAATGACTTCTTTCTCCCATTATCGGTGATTGATGGTTGTTGTTGCTGTTGGTTTGTGAGTGTCTTCATTATTTTCGTCATCTTTATGTTCACTTGGAGTCCTGTCTTCGACGCCTGTCTCTTCTACCTGCCAACTTGTCCATTTCTCTCTGTAGATCTCCGAGTTTATTTGACATTAGAGATACAGCATCCGCAAAGTTCATATCTTCTAGACTCCTCTTATGCGTCCAACGTATTCTGTCTTCTTGCTCCCCATAGTCTGTCACACGATCCAGTCCACTACATTATTAAATATCATCGGTGATAGTGTTCAGCCTTGTCTTACCACTCTTCACTTCACACAATAACTTATGTAAGTGTGAGCATCAAAATGAATCTAATCCTCATTATACAAATGCTTAACTGTCGTTTGTTTACTCAATCTCTATTTCATCATCCTGATACAATAGTGAGTTAGTCGATGTCGTGTGTGTATGTGTTTGAATGGTTCACTGACGTTGAAATACCTGAACTGAACTACTTGAAGTAGTAGGAAGAGCAGTAGTGTTGTGTGAGGTCACCAGCTAAGGAAACTTTGTTTTTGTTGTTGTTTATCATTATTCCCTTGCTTTCCTAGTAAAAACAAAGTTGAGCTTCAGCACAGCACAGCATTTACATTTACAATAATTAGTCAGTATCAACATGTCAGACAGTGGGGTGATAATTAACGAAGAAAATTAATGTACGCAATGAAAATCTAGAAATGGTTACAACACATGGATTGCATAATGTATAATTTTGGAAAAAATGAAGAGTGATTAAGGAATAATTGTGTGCACAGGTTAATTACGTAACAGATTGTTAAAGAAAATAAAACGACTCGGACAATGATAACTTGTAACTAAGGTTGAAGTGGTTATAAGTATAAAATAATTTTACAAGGATAACATGTAATTAAAGATGAAGTAGTCAGAAAAAATGATTTTGTCGATATTAATTTTTAAAGGTTTATGGGAAGGGGGGCGAAGTAGTCTGGTTTATACATTCGTGTAGCGATGGGCAAAGTAAGGAAAGTGGCTGTACAAATTTCTTCTGAACACACAGGTCTGCGTGGCTTCTTCAGGTGGATTCCTATGACTTCAGTTGTATGTAGAAGACGAACTCGTAAAGCAAAAGTAGGATTAGTAGGAATGCGATAATTTTAAATGCCGTATTATCGTCAACCTTATGCTCACTATCTACAAGGTGTACTACAAGCAGAGCTACGAATAGATTTTGTTTGTCCCTTGCTTACCCATGTTGAATGATGTTCGGAAATGCGATGATGACCCTGCCTAATTGTACGCCCGATGTAAGTGGCTCCGTAGATGCACATAGAGGAGGCAAATTTACGTAGTTTATCCTTATTTCTCGAACGCAGAATAGGGGTGGTAATGAAGAGATAACGTACCTCTGTTGCATTGAATGCTCTTTTAACTGCATTCTTCAGGCGCTGTGTTATTATTTCCCTTATATCACCAAGGAACTGCAGTTTTATGAACAGTGGTTTTTTCGGAACTGTCGCCATACTAACTCTCGTAGGTACTGAATTCATATTTTTCTCAATGAACTTATCTGGATAACCATTTTTTCTAAGTAATTCTCTAATAATCTTAAGCACATCATTGAGGCAGTCATCTGAACAGATTAACCTAGCTCTTTGAACCAAACACTTTACCAGGTTACGTTTATATTTCAAAGGTGCAAAACTCAAAAAAATGAGTGTACTGATCTGTTGTTGTAGGTTTCCTATACACACTCCTTCTTAGTTTGCCATCTTCTTTCCTTGCCATGAAGGCGTCTAGGAATGAGATACTGTCATTACTTTCTTTCTCTATGGTAAAGTTTATTGTTGAATGGGCATCAATAAACGTGTTAAGTATGTTCATTGCATCATTCTCATTTTTCATAACCAGAAACGTATCGACAGTAGAAATCCAAGTCATTCAGATGAAATCCATGAGCCCACCAAAGTTGTGGCTATCATGATATCAACCAACAGTATCGAAGGCGTCCGTGCAGTGAGAACTAGTCTCCTTCAAGATCTTGATGGCTAGATTTATCTCAAAAGGAATCAAAGTTGCAACCATGGAATGATGCTTACCTACAAACGACTCAGAACAGTATTGTATTTATTATTATTATTATTTAAACGCGGAAAACCTTGGTGCAATATGGCACCAAGAAACATGCGCCACACAATAATAATAAAACAACATAGATTAAAAGTAAAAATATAAGTAGAAAACGGATAAAGAACTTCATCAGGAAGGAAAACAGTCATGTTTAACTAGTTCAAACAGTATTCGTTAACTATCATCAGGAAGGGAAGAAAGAAGGAAATTGCAACACGTTCGCCATTGATTACGATTCTTGGCCATATCCGATAACGTCTCGAGCCATCGATTCGAGCTATCTCGCGGACCTCAACCAGAGAGTCGTGACACGCCAACCGATGCTAATCTAGCACAGAAATCCTTCATCCCACGACGCCACGTCATGGACTGACCACCCCTCCGCCTTTTCCATCCCGTCCCAAGGTTAGCGAACAGAGACCTGTACGGAAGCCTCTGGGATGACATTCGCAGCAAGGATATCTGTGTTAGATGTCACATTGGGGACAACCATTTTGAGAATTACTCACTAACATCTCGAAACGACACAGATAGGCTAGGAATCCAGACAAAGGCGAAAGACTGTCGAAGGTTAAGAAGTCAAGGTGAGCGAAGATAAAATACAGGAAACTAAGTATAAAAATAGAAGTAAGGTTGCAAAGAGATGTGTTACTTGAGACATCATTATTGCTTGAACGCATTGTTACGAGCGCGCGATAAGTTCCAATGATATTTTGTTGCTTTATTTCATTTATTGTGTGAGGGCTGAGATACTGCCCGGGTGCCCAGACCGAAGCAGGTGGTTTTCTTAAGGGACCACCCCGCAAGCCTTTGACTTGGAGTCTAATCCGCAAGGCAGCGGAGCAGCGTCAGGTGCTGCGTTCCCATGGTTGCCGGTGACCCATATGGGTTCGTACGCCATTTGATCCGATTGGATTCTGGAGCCCATGTACCCCATGATAACTGCTTTTAGTCTAACCGCTATCCAAACAACCTTCCTGGCATGGTAGGACCTGCAGGGACATGAGTCCCAGCCAGTTTAGCTTGTTGGGTCACAGTTGCATAGTAGGATTCATTTGTAGCTAATATCTTTGTGTTATAAGATGTTATGTAAGCGGCTTTGGTGCCCATTACGTATTTCTAATCTTGATTCAGTTTTCAAGACAATCAGCCACACGTTTGATATTTGTTTCCTCTCTGAAAGACAGTCAGCCTTCATACAGAAAATCTGGTATGAGAACAGATCAAGCGATCACAGTCACCACTTAATGCGATCAGTTGTGTCGAGCTGTTGTGTTACTAGTTGAGGTTACTTCAAAAATAAACATTAAAAATAGTTGTGAAGCATGGAATTATATCTGAAACCATTTATTTTAATTATTCGTTCGTACTTTTTTCACAAGAAGAGGTTTTCATCGCTTCGTAGCATGAGGCATAACGACTCAGTGTTTGGGACGAAGGGTGCTGAGTTCGAGTCGAAGCAGGAGAACCATCAGTCACTGGGGAGCAGGTACATATGCGAAGATGTTGGTAATCGCTTTAAGCAGTTTACTTTCATTCATACCTAGGCGTCGAGTGCTAGGTAAGGCGGGGAAATCAGTCGACGAAACTGTGAAATTACATTGACTGAGATGGTTAGGACATGTGCTACGTATGCCTAGTCATCGCCTTCCTCGACAATGGGCAATGTTAGCTGATATAGGGCCAGGCTGGAAAAGAGCTAGCGGCGGTCAAACGAAAACATGGCACCAGTCAATGAAATCCACAACAGTTAGCTTAAGCCACGTAGGAAGATGTAGACTTCCTGGTTGGGGTCCTCGGGACGGTAAAAACCAATGGTTGGAAACAATTGGTGACATGGCTCAAAATCGTTGTCAATGACTGTCGCAGATGCATCCACTCCTTGTGACTTATGATTTCCAATTAAACTGTTTTGTTCTGTTATTACTATTCCTTTGTCTCACACCTCTGTTTACTGTCTATATTATGCATTTCTCCTACTTTCTTCTCTTCCTTTGTGTGTTA